AGATTTATACTAAATTAGATATTTACTAAGCTTTCTATTATATAGTTATAGATCCGAACTCTCAGAAGCTAATAATATTTCATACCTATTATAAAGTATATAAATATAATATTCTCTAGGAAAGCCTTATAAATAGCTCGGCTATATATTAATACTATATAAATAATATACTTTTTAAATATCTAAATAACTTTTATATAATATATTTTAATAATATTCTTATTTATTTAGAGAACTTAATAAAGTATAAATAGTATATATAAAAAGTACTAGACTATTTATATCTTACTAGCCTCTAAATAAATATTAAGAAATCGGAATTTAAAATTATATATATAAAGTATTTAGGCTTTATTATCTTTATATCTAGTATTAAAATAGATCCTAATAAAGTTAAAGTAATATATAACTAGTAATTCCCAAAAATAATTAAGGGTATATAGTTCTTTCTTGGCTTCTATAACTTTTATAAATACTTTATTAGAGAATATAAATAGATTACTAGATCTCTTATCTTATTTATAAAAAAGAATATTTCTTTTAAGTAATTCGAGTAATATCGAGAGGCTTTTACTTACCTAAAGAAAGCTATAATTTCTATCCGAGTTTTATAATACTATAATCTAGATCTATTTATAATAGTAGAAATAGATATATCTAAAGAAATAGTTACTGGCCTATTCTCTTAATAAAACCCAGAAATAAGCCTTTAGTATCTTATAGCTTATTTTTCCAAAATTATACTTCTAGTAAAGCTTAATTATAATATATATAATAAAGAAATACTTGCTATAGTTCGAGTACTAGAGAAATAAAGAGCTAAGCTAGAGGGCCTTTAGAATACTCTTTTTAAGATCTATTCTAATTATTATATTTTGAAGTATTTTATAATTATTAAGAAGCTCTTTTCTTAATAAGCTAGATAAGCTAAGCTTTTATTCTACTATTACTTTAAGCTTATATATTATTCTAGAAAATTAAATAAGTAAGTAAATACTTTATTACGAAAATAAGATAAAGTAGATATTTAGGGCCAGATTAAGAAAAAGCTATGAACTCAAGTACTTCTTCCCAAAAATAAGATTAATCCGGAGATTATCTATAATTTATAGCTTATAGTAATACTTTATAAGATCGGTTTACTTAATTCGGAATTCGGCTCTAAAAACTAAGTATATACTAAAGACTTTCTAAAGAAAAATATTCTTATTAGAGGTATAATTTCCCTAAAGAAAAATATTTTCTTAGAAGCTTTACTAGTAAACTCTACTATAGTAGCCCCTATAGAAGTACTATTAGAGGCTCTTGCCAAATATAGTAGTTTATAACTTATAGACAAGATCCTATAAAATAATTATATATTACCGGATCTAGAAAAGCTATATATAATAGCCTAAGCTAAAAGTAATATCTAGATATTATAAAACGGCCTCTTTTTATATTATAGAAAACTCTATATTATAGAGAATAAAATAACCCCCGGATTACCTTTATAAATTACTCTAATTTATAAAGTATATAATAAATTCCTTTCTGGATATCCTAAATATATAAAGTTCTATTAGTTATTAAAGAAATAATATTACTAGCTATCTATAAGTAAGAATATTAATTAATACTATAATAATTACTATACTTATAGGAGATTATATATACCTAGAAATAAGAAGCCTAGTTTGCTTTATTTCCTTCTAGTTCCTAATTACCTCTAGTAATATATTACTATAGACTTTAAGAGCTATTTAGAAAGCAAATCGGGCTATAATATAATTACTATATTCGTGAATTACTTATCTAAGTACCTAATTATAATTCCCGTATGAGATATAATTATAATTAAGTAACTAGTACTTCTGTTTTTACTTTATATAATATACTAAGTAAGTATTTCAGAAATAATTATATTAGATTAGGAACTCTAATTTATATCCGATTTTTAAAGTAAATTCTATATAAGAATTAGTATAAAGCTTAAGCTCTTTATAGCTAATTATTTCTAAATAAATAAATAAATAGAAATTATTAATTAGTACTTTAATTAGAAATTATACTCGTATATTAATTATTACTAGAATAACTAGAATAAATAAGTTACTATAATTAATTATTAATAAGCCTTTCTTTAGTATAAAACTATTAGCTAGTTCCTATTTATAACTAAAAAAAGCTACGAGCCTTATATTTCTCTAAACTAGAACTTCTCTATTAAAGCTAACTTACTTAAAGAGAAGCTAAATAAGAATAAAGCTAAAGTATTAGTAAATTAATTATATAAATTATAGTAACTTACCTAAGGCTATATAAAATAAGTATAGGAATAATATATAATATAAGCTAATAAATACTACTATCTAATTAATTTCAAAATAGGAAATAAAATATAAGTTATTATAAAGTACTAGAAATCCGATTATCTGAGCTAGAAGCTAGGAAATTAAATAAAGGGCCTATTTAAGATTCTAGAATAATATAGCTACTTATTTCTCCTAAAACTATCGGAAACCATAAAGATATATCTAGTTTTTTATATAAAGAAGCTATAAAAAGACTTCTAGAATTCTTTGCCAGATTAAGTAAACCCGGAACTATTCTTATTAATACTAGAGAATAATAAATAAGAATATAGCATTAAACGAGTTATTATAGTTAAGTTAGTAAGAAATAGGCTAAAGTATAGAATCTAGTAGGTTAGTTAGGATAAAGATCTAGTATAGTATCTAGCTTTAGTACTAAATAATAGTTCCCTGGTTTTATAGAGTTTCTATAATAATAATATTAATATATTAGGATCTTTATAAAACCTATAATACTAGCTAGACTATATAAAAATAATAATAAATCCTCCTAGGTTATATAGTAAAGATACTAGTCTTTTATATATAATATTTATATCCGAAATACTAGTTTTATTTTAGGAAGAAGTATAATACGAAATTAGATAAATTAATGGCTTTTATAAAGCTCGGGAACGAGCTTATTATAAAGGGGAGAGTAATATTATAATTCCCAAATACCCGGTATCTAAGATACCTTGCCAGATACTAGATGCCTTCTAGATATACGTAATGCGGCCGCCTTACTAGGGAAATATACTTGGAATATACTAGAAATATTTAGAAAGCTAAGCCTCTTCGGGACTAGTATACTATAGGGTATATATACTCTCTCGCAGCCTCCTATATTCTAGTTTTCCCTTCCTTAGCTTTGAATTGTCTTTATAAGGGACCTTCTACCTTGCTTCCCAAGCCCTGAATACCGTACTCGTAATAATAATTCCGGGAGAGTCTAAAGCTTAAAGAACTCGATTTAATAGTAAAATTAAAATAGTAATTAAAGAGCTTTAAGGATATATATAGGGTATATATTTCGAAGAAAAGATTCTATAAATACAGGTATTATATAAGTAGAAAAAATAGTTTCTAAGAAAGTAGTTTTAGGGCTAAAATAAGTTAGTTTTAAAGAATAATAAAAGTTAAATAGATAAATAATTAAATGGCTAATTACTTATTAATTAGTAAGAGCTAGATATTTTCTCTATAGGCTATTAAATACTTTCGTAAAGTTAATAAGTAATTCTTTTCTTTAATATAAAATAAACTAGATTTGTCTTAGGTTACTAAATACTTTTAGGACTAATCTAAAAGCTTCTTTAATCTATATATATAAATAAATCTTAATAGTAAGCTACTAGATTCTTCTAATTTATATATCTACTAATTAGTATTAGTTTACTAGTAATATATAGTACTATTATATAAGTATAAAAATACTAGTTATATTAGTTAGTAAAGTTATTATTATTTAGAAATAGAAATCGCAATATTATAATATTAATATGCGATCCCTAAATCTACTAAGCCTAAAAGGATTTAGTTTACTAGTCGAGTTACTAATAAGACGCGAGGTTATATAACTATATCCCGTATCTCATATCTTATTACTTATATCTCATTACTCATATCCCGTATCCCGTGTCCCGTAACTATACACGTGACTCCCAAAGGAATAGCTATACTAATACTAAATTATAAAATTATTAAATTATTAAAATATATTATATTATTATATTAAATTATTAAAATATATTTAATTTATATAAAAATAATATTTTATTATTATATTAAATATATAAAGTTAAAATTAAATATTAATAATAATATAATAATAAAAACTTTTTTTATTTAAAAAAAAGTATTAATTTTTAATAGTTCTTTAATCTCCTATAAAAGCAAGAACATTTTAGTTATTTGTATTATATAAACCTTGATTTGAAAAATTTCAGATCTTAGCTTCGAAGTTATATATCCTAGTAACAATGTCGGGAAGCTTCGTGATTTCGAGGGACACATGAAGTTGAGGCTATTCGTCTTCCAACTGTATTATTAGAACTGAACCCCGGTGTATTTAGAGTTTGAAGTATTGGGAAAGATAGCTCTGGTGGCCGCTGCTAAAGCTTCGCTAAATTGGTCGAGTTCCATGTTATTATTCCAGCGATCTATATCGCAAGGTGGCAGAGGAAGAGTCGACTAATGAGTGGTACAATCAACAGAGGGTAGCTTTGTTTCTTGCACTTCTTCGTGTTTGACGGGATTCAGGGTGGTTGTCGTCATGGTCACGACTGAGCCCAGATTTCAGAGTCAGTGAAAATATAGGTTTGCTTCAAACATAAGAAATGAAATGGAAGGCCATAAACTTCTCAGCGAGAACTCCACAAGCAGTAGTACGGCCAGTGAAGCCTTTCTATGTAAGTTTGAATTTAATAGCATAGATAAAGAGGCAAATCGTTTGGAGGAAAGGAGGAAGTGAATTACGCAAAGACAGGAGACCTAGGGCTTAGCAAGCCCCGGACGCCTCTTTCGAGGGCAGAGTACAGCGTAGAAACTTGCGCCAATCTTTGTAGTCAACTTGTTGAATACAAGACATCTGTGTTGTAATTCGAGCACCTTTGGCTTCTTAGATCCGCAGTACATAATGATTAAGTTTATAACGGATGGCGATGTCTAACACTTAGATACTTCGTAAGCTTTTCGTTGCCGCTCAATATCCATGTTCACCCAAAAATATGATATAGACGCCCAAACTACGATATATGCAAACAGAACACCAAGTGATGACCCAAATGCATAGTGAAACTCGAGAGTCCAGACTAGTTGATGGTAGAGTTAGCTAGTACTTGAACTGGAACAAAGCTGGCGGCCATGACGCTTGCACAAATTCAGTGCCAATGTATCTGTGTAGCATAAATATGACTAGGAAGAACTGGACGTAGAAAATCCGGAATGAGAACATCCGGAATGAGAAAAATAGACGTACTGATTGCGGACAGGCAGCCAAGATATACCAGGACTCCTGTTATCCACCAAAAAGTGAGGACGAGGAACATGCGTCTGAAAGCCTTGGACGAATCATATCGGGCGTTATATCGTACTCGGAATTCACGATCTTGGAGACCATCGACAGCAATGAAATCCTCAGCGGCGTAGTCTGCACAATCACAAAGTTAGTGATCATCTTTTACAAAAGGCCAATGTGCCTCAGTTCTCGAGAACTGGGGATCAGGGAAAGAAACAAGAGATTTTACCTACAAATGAAGGGCCGCATTCGAGTCCCTCTCGGATGAGAGTTAATCCCGATGGGGATTTTGATCGGAATAAGAGTGACGAGCATTATTATACCGAGAAATGCCATGAGGAAACCCGGGGAGTAGAGATAGAGCCGCGGGATTTCCGTTGTGCTACCGACGACGAATGGGATCAAAGCCATGATCATAGCAACGCCGTACACCCAAGAAGTTGCATCAAGCTCCCACTTGGAGCGTGCTAGGTAATGGAGGAGTCAGCGATTGCTCCACTAAGATTGTTTCGGGAGAGGTCATTGTCTTAGGAGAAAATCATGAAACAGTCAGAAATAGGAAAAGGATTTCTCCCCCAGCACTTACATAACAAGGGAGCACACTGGTCCCTGTATCGCAGAAGTCGAGCGACCCGTGCAATCAAGATATAAAGCTCCCCTATTCCAAAGGAAGCAACAGCATAGCCAAGGATGTGGTCGTCGAATTCGGGCTTTTCGATTGGGCAAGTTGCCCGTCGAGCAGTATATGCGCGACAATCTTCCTCCCACTGGGATCGATGGATATCGTACCATACATAATATATAATGCATGGCACCACAATGTCGAACAATATGATCATGGGGGGCCCGAGTGTGATTGAAAGGTGCTCGGTAGGTTTAGGATTCCGCTGCGCAAGTTTCTCATATGCTGGCAGGGCCGGAGCCGGAACTTCTCGACCTCTGACCTCCTCATCTGCTGAACCATTGCCATTCGGATAGTCTTCGTCGACCTGAATGCGGGTTGCCGTAGTGACGCTCTCGTGCTCCTCGTAGAGGGTGGAGGCTCTGCCATCATATCCCGAGATCGATACCAATTGGCGTGTCCGATCTTCGTCGTTGATGACTTGTGTCATGAACACAGATATGGGTAATTAGGCGTACTGCACTGCCAGATCTTAGCAATGATATATATTTGAAGGACGTAGATATACCTATGGGACTTGATCTTGCTACCATTCAACATGAAACTATATGACTCGTGCTCGGGATGTCTTGCAGGGACGGGCTGCCGTAGGACGAGGAAAGCTAAGGAACTCTGAGTATAACAAATTGTGCTAGTAATTGTGGGATGCTTCAGGACATGAGAAGATCGGATTCAGAGCTGCAGATGGCCGGCTTGGCTTGACCTGCACCGAATCATGGCAGAAGCAGCATAACAGAGACAATGAGGAAGTAGAAGAGAACGCTTGCCCCCATGAAAAGAAATCATCTCTGACGGCTGACTGACGCCGTCAGGATGGCCGTCCGCCCGATGATGTAGTAGATGTAGGCTCTAAGGTCGTCTATACTTGAACCAAACGTCACCGATGTCGCTGACTTGGAGGTGAAGAAAGTCGTCGCTACTAGCTCGTCGCCGAAAGTTTAGTGTACTAAGTTTCCGGCCCCATGAAACTGCCGAAGCACGCGTCAAAACACTAGCGAGTAAGAGGTGCCAAGAGAGTAAATCTACCGCTGCACGCTCTTTGGTCGAACAGTTTGTAGCCTTGGGTTCTTTCAATCTCGACTGACTAAGACCACGTATGGACTAGGGGCAAGTCTCCCTCGGTAAAGGAGGGTGTGGCTCGCTTAACCAGTCAGCCCCTTTAAACGTCCGCTAACGTGGGATTTCGTAGCTGAAGAATATCTCGGCTATGCCCTCGACAGTTTGGCGTCCCGCTTCTTGAATACAGCATTAGCCACGAGCTTTTGTGTTCGGTTGCCGTAAATTGAGTCGTCAGAAGTCTGCGATGTAACTTTTGAAGGAACTTCTACTTTGCTGGTCGGAGCTGGGGGATCCAAACACACAACAATGATGAGAGGACGATAGTGGCGGATCTGGTTTAATGACTTCGGCGAGGGCTGCGGTCTATATCTACAATCTGGCGTCGGCGCTACTTAATTTGGAAATTCAATTGTCCCACAGCTCGGGAGGACATTTAGAAAGGAAGAGATTTGAATGTTTGACACTGCGGAATGTGAAAGAAAAGGGTGGACAATACAAGCACTGGCTGGTATACGATAGGCCACAATTAACTTGTGCGGTTGTGCTATAGCATCAAATAAGCAAACGGTAATGGGGGTATTTTGAAATCATCCTTATGCTGCTCGGCAGTGTGTGAAGGAGCCAAGGCGACGAGCACGGAACATGGGCCAAGGTTCCCAACGGATGGTATCCTGACAGAAGGAAGCAATTGAATTGGTCTATACGCCTTGAAAATGTAGTGTATGCTTCAGTTGTGGCCGGTCATTGGCTGGTCGATGTCGTTCTCCGCCGTGGTTTTGGGTTATTGTCAATGTTGGTATCGTGGCTTGAGCTCGTGGCTTCTTCTCGACAGAAAACCATGGCCAGATGAGATCTTGGTCTGCAAATTGTAGTGTAACTGCAAATTTGCTCTCTGTCAGCTTGGCGTGATGGCTCGAATAAGTGTCACAAGCTGGAGTTTTCCCTGTGGTACTAGATGCTGAGGGGAGGACCTTGATGTCGATGACCTTCTTTGTATTCGCAATGCACGTGCTGTGTTAAACGAGAGCACAATAGGTTCGGGCGAGGGAGGCGTAAGATATTCGTGAAATTGCCACCTCCAAAAATAAGATCTGACAGTATCAATCAACTTGTCATATAGGCGAAAACTGTAGCAAGAGGAAATCGGACACTCGCAAGGGTCGAAAAAACATCAACAATCAAGGGCATCTGTGTGGTAGGAATTGATTGTCCAATATATTCTGATGAAAGGAAGAGTTGATTATGAGAGATCTCCGAGTGTCTGGCGGAAGGATATCTAACCAGACAGTAACAGGCCGCTTTGGATGAAACACAAATTGGACGTTGGAAGGAAGAATGTGAGAAGACACCTGTCTTCCCAAGTTGTGCTTTTATGCCCTGTTTATGAAAACCGGAGGCGATCGCGGCTAACGCGTCAAGCCTCAGGATCCGGGCATAATTTACCAATGCGCCTGAATCCCATGGTACAATTTAATCACATTTTGACACAAACCGCGATATGCGGACTGCCGCACAATAGCGGAAGATTGAGCCTGTACAAAATACATCGACCTGCTCGAAGAGGACTTGCAGACTCGGAGAAGCTTCGAACTGTGCCATTGATGCGGAAGCGGAAGCGAGGTAGATCATTGCCATTGTGCAGTTTCTGAAACGAGCGGTATGGGACTCCAGATGAATTTTCAACAGGGGGGGGGGATGCGTGCCTGTCCCACGCTCGAGGATAGGGGCTGACCTGGCCATGGAGGAGAATGATGCCGTGAGGCTTTTGGGGGGGGGGGGGGGGATTCTGGTCGTTGCTCGGGCAGCAATTGTTTGTAACAATGAGGAGAAGTACAAAGTGCAAGTGCAGGTGGCT